GTAATATTTCCCCCAAAATTCGAAAATCTACTTCCCCGAAAAGTCGATAATCTACTTTCCCGAAAAGTAGAAAATCTATCTACTTTTCGGGAAAGTAGATAACCAACTTTCCCGGAAAGTAGATATTTCCCATTTTTTATGATACAAATTTCCCGTTTTCTATGATAATCTACTTCGCAAAATTAGGTAATATTTCCCCCAAAATTCGAAAATCTATTTCCCCGAAAAGTCGATAATCTACTTTCCGAAAAGTAGAAAATCTATCTACTTTTCGGAAAGTAGATAACCAACTTTCCCGGAAAGTAGATATTTCCCATTTTTTATGATACAAATTTCCCGTTTTTTATGATACAAATTTCCCGTTTTCTATGATAATCTACTTCGCAAGGTAATTTGGTAATATTTCCCCGAAAAGTCGAAAATCTACTTTCCCGAAAAGTAGAAAATCTATCTACTTTTCTGGAAAGTAGATAACCAACTTTCCCGGAAAGTAGATATTTCCCGTTTTCTATGATACAAATTTCCCGTTTTCTATGATAATCTACTTCGCAAAATTAGGTAATATTTCCCCCAAAATTCGAAAATCTACTTCCCCGAAAAGTCGATAATCTACTTTCCCGAAAAAAAGAAAATCTATCTACTTTTCGGGAAAGTAGATAACAACTTTCCCGGAAAGTAGATATTTCCCATTTTTTATGATACAAATTTCCCGTTTTCTATGATAATCTACTTCGCAAAATTAGGTAATATTTCCCCCAAAATTCGAAAATCTACTTCCCCGAAAATTCGATAATCTACTTTCCCGAAAAGTAGAAAATCTGTCTACTTTTCGGGAAAGTAGATAACCAACTTTCCCGGAAAGTAGATATTTCCCAGTTTTTATGATACAAATTTCCCGTTTTCTATGATAATCTACTTCGCAAAATTAGGTAATATTTCCCCCAAAATTCGAATATCTACTTCCCCGAAAAGTCGATAATCTACTTTCCCGAAAAGTAGAAAATCTATCTACTTTTCGGGAAAGTAGATAACCAACTTTCCCGGAAAGTAGATATTTCCCGTTTTTTATGATACAAATTTCCCGTTTTCTATGATAATCTACTTCGCAAAATTAGGTAATATTTCCCCCAAAATTCGAAAATCTACTTCCCCGAAAAGTCGATAATCTACTTTCCCGAAAAGTAGAAAATCTATCTACTTTTCGGGAAAGTAGATAACCAACTTTCCCGGAAAGTAGATATTTCCCATTTTTTATGATACAAATTTCGTTTTCTATGATAATCTACTTCATAAAATTAGGTAATATTTCCCCAAAATTCCAAATCTACTTCCCCGAAAAGTCGATAATCTACTTTCCCGAAAAAGTAGAAAATCTATCTACTTTCCGGGAAAGTAGATAACCAACTTTACCGGAAAGTAGATATTTCCCATTTTTTATGATACAAATTTCCCGTTTTCTATTATAATCTACTTCGCAAAATTAGGTAATATTTCCCCCAAAATTCGAAAATCTACTTCCTCGAAAAGTCGATAATCTACTTTCCCGAAAAGTAGAAAATCTATCTACTTTTCGGGAAAGTAGATAACCAACTTTCCCGGAAAGTAGATATTTCCCATTTTTTATGATACAAATTTCCCGTTTTCTATGATAATCTACTTCGCAAAATTAGGTAATATTTCCCCAAAATTCGAAAATCTACTTCCCGAAAAGTCGATAATCTACTTTCCCGAAAAGTAGAAAATCTATCTACTTCTCGGGAAAGTAGATAACCAACTTTCCCGGAAAGTAGATATTTCCCATTTTTTATGATACAAATTTCCCGTTTTCTATGATAATCTACTTCGCAAAATAGGTAATATTTCCCCCAAAATTCGAATCTACTTCCCGAAAAGTCGATAATCTACTTTCCCGAAAGTAGAAAATCTTCTACTTTTCGGGAAGTAGATAATAACTTTCGGAAAGTAGATATTTCCGTTTTTATGATACAAATTTCCGTTTTCTATGATATCTACTTCGCAAAATTACGTAATATTTCCCCAAAATTCGAAAATCTACTTCCCCGAAAAGTGGATAATCTACTTTCCCGAAAAGTGAAAATCTATCTACTTTTCGGAAAAGTAGATAACCAACTTTCCCGGAAAGTAGATATTTCCCATTTTTTATGATACAAATTTCCCGTTTTCTATGATAATCTACTTCGCAAAATTAGTAATATTTCCCCCAAAATTCGAAAATCTACTTCCCCGAAAAGTGGATAATCTACTTTCCCGAAAAGTAGAAAATCTATCTACTTTTCGGGAAAGTAGATAACCAACTTTCCCGGAAAGTAGATATTTCCCATTTTTTATGATACAAATTTCCCGTTTTCTATGATAATCTACTTCGCAAAATTAGGTAATATTTCCCCCAAAATTCGAAAATCTACTTCCCCGAAAAGTGGATAATCTACTTTCCCGAAAAGTAGAAAATCTGTCTACTTTTCGGGAAAGTAGATAACCAACTTTCCCGGAAAGTAGATATTTCCCATTTTTTATGATATAAATTTCCCGTTTTCTATGATAATCTACTTCGCAAAATTAGGTAATATTTCTCCCAAAATTCGAAAATCTACTTCCCCGAAAAGTTGATAATCTACTTTCCCGAAAAGTAGAAAATCTATCTATTTTTCGGGGAAGTAGATAACCAACTTTCCCGGAAAGTAGATATTTCCCGTTTTTTATGATACAAATTTCCCGTTTTCTATGATAATCTACTTCGCAAAATTTGGTAATAGGCAGGGAATTTTATTTTATTTGGGACTGGAAAACCTGGAAAAGCTAGGGAATTTTACAAATAAATCTGGAATTTTATATGAATTAAATTTAACTTCAAAATATTGTTATTGTGGCAGCAATCTTATCATAAATTAATGATGTACTATATAATAGGTAAGTAATTAAGCTTTTAGGAACAAATTCCAGTAAATAGTCCACTCCAATAAGTAAATTGTTTGTGTACCTATCATATTTCATGTCAGTGATCAAATAACCAAATATTACAGGTTATACCTACTAATTCTGCAATGTCAGAGATGAACTGTTCTTAAAATTAAGTGCTTTATTTAAGTGGATTATTCCACATATTAATCATGAATCATATAAGTGGATAAGGAGTGTGATTTTTCAGTTTTAGGCGGATTTCTGACTTTTTTTGAACGTCCAGGTCGACCCACGTGAATCACACGAATTCGAGGAGAAAAATTTGGAGGGGGGGCGGGGGTTGTAAAGGTCTTTGTCGATGTTCATCACTAGGCTTGGGGTGGGTCGCTAAAGGGTCTTCAATTTCTTGATTAATATCATTTATATCATCTTTAAATTTCCCAATAGTACTGTACTGTATATACATATTATTGAAAACCTCAAATTTTATTATCCTTTCGTAATAAATACCGAACTAATGTACTACCTTGAAATTTTCAAATTTACACTTGGAAAACCTGGAAAAGCCAGGGAATTTTGTTTTGTCTGGTCAGTAGACACCCTGCTGTAGTTCAAACAACCAGGGTGCTTCAGCACAAAGTTACTCATTAGTCAACTATTCAAACCTATAAACTGAAGACCTGAAAACTTACAAGTGAGTTTTTGTTGAGATGGAATCACACGATTGTTACTTCTAGCAAGCTTTGTTCCCTGGTGATCGCACGTGGCCGCGGTCGTGTAAATCAGCGATTATGGTTCAGTGTATGTGTTGTTACTCATTAAGTGATTTTTTTTTTACCTTACAGTGAGAGGATATCATTAACATTCATATTGTACTCTGTTTTGGTGACTGTGTAGTGACTTTTGCTGTTTTTTGTGACTAAAGTTCTTTGTCTGTTGTTGTTGTGAAGCAGCATTGAGACACCCCAAAGGCTGTGTGGGTGTCAGAATGATGTCTCCACTCCACCTTCAAGTCCTCTTCGCCTCTGAGGAGACATGTAATGATGACCAAGCTTGTTCTTAATGATGTGGTTAGTGATGTTTAATTGTTTTATGTATATTATTAGTGTACGATTTTGTTTCTCGGTAATACATGAGAGTTTTGGACTGGCTGGGAACATATCCCATTGAACCCTAAGTTATAATGATCCCAATCTATGATATTTCCCCTAAATAATGCGTTTTTGAGGAACCTAACCATCGTAGTTGTTCAGGAACCTATTTCATGCTTTTGGGGTGATATTGGGGTTTTCTTGTCATTGGGGAACCAAACCCTATTTTTCCCAATTGTTCTCTTATTCACAATAAGAAAATTCACCTAATGGATGGTTTTCAGGAACCTAACCTATTATTATAGCAAGGGATACCTGTACTGTACTGTAATGTACATAAAAGAATGGACAGTGTATGCTTACTGTAGGCTAGTGTGTAGAGGGCTTATGTACAGTATACAGTACATGTACAATCCCTCCTTCATGGAGGGAGTGGAGAGTGACAGTAACACCTGCGACAGGAGATGGTACAGGGCAAAGGCAGGCTATCCTGTATCATAATATCACAAACTCATTGAGACAGCATTTGCTGGTGAGTACAGTACAGTGTATATAGTAAATTTTGTGTACAATATTTACAATATATTGTATGTGTACAGTGGTGTTTGCAAAAATAAATACAGTTCCGTGTTTGTCCATGCAAGATATGTAATTTAGACTGTCGGAAAACTTCCACAGTACCCGGAAAAATTCCGCTCTGCACCAATTATTATTCTGGCCAACGGGGATAGCGCTGTATATGAATAAATTCTTAATCACATTTTCTACTGATTGAAATATTTTATCTAGATAAAGATAGATATATTTTCATGGGAGTTTGTCATTACAGTACAGTACTGTACTTGTTAACTCAATTTGAAATTACAGTATAACTACAGTACAGGTATATTACATTGACAAATTGTATATTTTTTCGCCTGTTACAGGTGATATAGGTGCGGCTTATAGTTATGTTGATGCCACAAAATAATGGAAAAATAAAACCACTTCTGAAAAAAGTCTTTATTTCAAAGAAGTTACGCATTATGTAAAAAAAGTATTGTAAGTACAATCATCGAAAAATTGGAAAGACATGATGAAGACACCACAGTTATTACAAAAACTTAAATAATTAGTCACTATGCACATTATTATACACGTTGGTTACAAAACAACCCCTGAATATGACCATCGTACTATGGCACCTTACAGGACGGGTTTTCAATTTTGTTTTGGCACTGTATTGGCTCGTATAATGGCACTTGGCACTTATCTACTGCCTTGAGGGGATAAACTGTCTGGCTTTGAGGTGTCAGGTTTTTTAAACGTGATCACCGTTAATATTTTTTGTCCCTTTGGTCAGACAGATGTATTGAGGTATGGGGGATCACAACATTGGCTTATTATCTTTATAGACGTTTGTCGCACTTTGTTAACACCAAGTCTCCTCTCCTCTCTCTCATCACTGTATATCACCATTTCTTAAATCACATCGTTCATCGTCTTTATTGATCACAAAGAATGTAACTCACAGAACGTAAAGCTCACCTCCGGAGTCTATCAACGTTTTTAATATTATTACACTTCCACATTCCGATTTGCACTTGTACACTTCACTTAAAACTTTGTTGGTCACAAGATGAAGTACTTTTTTTTAGTTTACTACACAGCCGTGGGCTTCCTGTAGTTAACTGTGTAAGAGTGATTGTTGAAATAGTAGTACTTAAAGGCCTACCATCTCCACGCTCATTACTTGTTGAAGGATGACACTTTATTGATCTGTTACAAGGCTACTGCAAAACCCATTGCAAGTCTAGTAGTTGATATTAAGTTCTGAGACAATACTTTAAGTCCTCTGGAGCAGAACCACTGGGAGTTCAATCACTTCTGAGTACTTCAGTACACCACGCCTGTACAAATATATTAATTAATTGTGAAGTCAATATTTACATTCTAAATTCATCACAGTCATCAGTATCAAGAAATCATCCGAGGCCGAGTTAAAGTCATTTTGGCGGCATGACACGAGGTGCGGGTGGAGATGCATGACATCACCCTCCTGACACATGGCTGAGGCAGAATACCCGCCAAGGACATGTGGCTAGGTCAGTAATACTTCCCTCCACATACACAGCTGAGGCAGACTACTTCCTCCACATATGTGGCTATCTAAACACCCAGTCAAAGGTATCGGGACAGCTCATCGCCTGCTACTAAAGGAGGAGGTTATGTAGTATGGGCAGGCTCAATCACCTGGTATGACAGCCATGCCATTGTGGGACTTAGTCACCATCACCTATCAGGGGTTAAGACAGAGTCGCATGGTATTATGGCAACTGGAATCATTTGACGTTGTGTACCTGCTGCGACATAAACACTTTTTGCCTCTAGAGGGGCTGGCCAATGACTACACCAGGAGGGTTGAGGGAACACGATTAACCCAATGAAGTTGTCATTGAATCATCTGAAGGTACTTATTCTCCTCCTGCAGTGATGTGAGGGAGGACGTCATGTCATTGATCACCATGTTGGAGGTCTCGGCAAGAGCGACAGGAAGAGGTGTGGCAAATCTAGATGCTCCTTGCATGCTGGGCTGCTGTGCTGGCTGCTGTGTGGGCTGTGGGATGACGCCACTGCTGCCACCGGCACTCTGTGATGTGGGCTCCGTGTACCCTGCCACTGTGCCATTGGGGTTGAGTTTCGGTTTCTGGTCAGTGGTACTGCTGACCTCCTCCTTAACTACAGTAGAACTCCAGCTCTGGCACTGCTGCACATACTCTAATGTTCGCTGGTATGTGTCTGGTTTCATGAAGTTTTTGCTGTTAGCTTTCGTGTCCACACACTTGGTGTCCACTGATTTACTGTCTGATGGTTTGGACTCCACAGGAATGCAGGGCACAGTTGCTGCTATATCACTGACTGCTGTAGCTGGAGGCTGCTGAGTGTTGTTACTGACCACTGCTGCACTTGAGGTACCACTAGCAGTACCACAGACAGCAGCAGAAGCAACGGCAGCAGCGGCGGCAGCAGCAGCGGCGGCAGCAGCAGCAGGGGATGAAGTTCCCTGACTGTTTTTGGTACCTGTTTTCGACTTTCCACCTTTAGTCTGTGAGCTCTGGCTGACGTCCCGGCACTGTACGTCTCCTCCCATTGACCCCGGATATGACATGGGCATCATTCCTCCTGTGGGCATCATGGAGTTCTGATACTGGCCACCCATGCCCATGTACCCCATAGGCCCCTGAGCAGCCATCATGTTCATCTGCTGTTGTTGCTGTGGACCGTATTGTTGTTGTCCCTGGTATTGGTTCATGTTCATTTGTGACCCCTGCCAGTTTGACATAGACCCCTGTTGGCCCTGGTAGGCGGCCATGTCACCAGCCATAGCACTGCCACCGCGGTTCTGGCAGCCTGCACAGGGAGCTTGGTAGGCTGGTGTAGGGAGGTTTGGTGGAGCTAAGTGGCCACAGGCATGTACAGGACCATAACTTCCTTGACCCATGCCATAGCCTCCACCCCCTTGTTGGCCTCCCATACCTCCATACCTCCCCTGTTGTTGCTGCATCATGGTGCCATACATGTGCTGCCCCATCATCTGCTGTCCTTGGTAATGTGGTTGTGAGTACTGCTGTCCCTGCTGGTGCTGCTGCATGGGGTAATTCTGGGGCATAGGCTGCTGTTGCTGGTATGCCTGAGACATTTGGTTGAAAGCCGGGCCCGCTGGGTTCGGGGCCATGGTGGCATTGAACTGTTGTTGGGGTGCGGGTGACTGCATAGGAGGATTGTTGTAGCCATGGGGATGTGCGGGTGATGGCACAGAGTACCCGGGTGATGCCTGGGGGTATTGATAGTTACTGGCGGGGGACTGCATGGGCTGGTTAGAGTACGCTGGGCTGATCATTGGCTGGTTGGAATATGCTGGGCTAGGAATGGGCTGACCACTGTAGGCTGGGGAAGGCATCTGCTGGTTGGACAGAGTGTTGGGAGTACTGCCTTGGCGACGGTTTTCTTTGGGATCAGACTTGAGTTTGTCACCATTGCCCTTCTGAAAAACAAAAGAAAACAATGTACATTAATATTATTAATTTATATAAAACAATGGAGGCTGAGGGGTGTGGAGAAGTGATGTGGGGGAAGAGAGATGGTGTGAACACATGGGAAGGATATCAGGGGACAGGATAGTAAACATAGTGTACAGAGGTTATGTTGTAGGTTGGGTGAGTAGAGAGAATCTGCTGACACAGTGAGATGGCAAAGGTGGAACAGTACATTTAAGGAGAGAATGGATGAGGGCAAATGATGTATACAGTACTGTGGTGGCGTGGAGACATTGCAGATAAGACAGTGTTTCTGACACACTTATGTTTTATTTGTGCAAAAATCAAGAAGCAGCAGCTTGTTATTATAATCATGTGATCTAAGGAGGCAAATAAGGAGGCTTATATAAATCCTTTTTCTATACTTAATGCATTTTACATAATTCCGCTGCTAAATGTAGGTGGGGTGGAGGTATGGACGTACAGAAAGAAGTGTTGACATGTGGTTGTAAGAGCATAAAGATGAAAAAAAGACAGATACAAATTATTATGCACAAGACATGTTATACATGTAGGCTGGAGGTACTGACCAGGTTGAGGTAGTTGACCATGTCATCAGGGAGCACCAGCTTGTTCTCAATAGGTTCGTCTTCAGCCACCTGGTCCAGCTGGAGGCCATGGTTTGGATGACGCGGGGTGATTGGTGGCAGAGGTGTGCGAGGGTTGAAAGACGTGTAGCTGTGGTGTCTGTGTAATCTCCGGCTTCCGTCCTCCATTCCTCGGTCTAATGGTCTCACTGGATCTGATGCTCTCCTGGGTCCCTCACAGCGGTTCTGAGGGTCCACAGGGCCAAGGGGACCCATGGAGCCAAAGTTGTTGCCACCCATTGAGGCGCTCATGCCACCCATGTTGGCATTGTTGTTTGGCCAGCCACCCTGCTGTAGGTTGTCCTGGCTCAATGACATGTTCTGTGTCTGAGGAGAACAAAAGTTGTAGTAACATATAAGTGGCTCATGATCTTAGATTTACTAATGATCGCAAGATTAATGTTTTATAAACACTGATTGACAATGTAAGGTGATATATCTCTTCATGAGATGCAGCTGCTAATGAGGAAAACCTTGTTTTTAGTTTTAAAGAAGGTCAGATAGAAGGTGACACTGGCAGCCAGGGTGTACTCCTCCAACAGAGGGTATTGGCTACACAAACATACTTAACGATTACAGTTTTATGATTGGCAAAACTGTCATTCTTCTGATGTTCGAGATAAAAAATTACAGTGTGTATATATTTTGATTTAAGACAAGCTCTTTAAACTTTAACATACTCTCTTAAATAACTAGAAAAAATAGATGACAAATTTGCTGCTCTCTAACTGAAGATGAGAAGGTTATATGGTAAAGTGTAAAGTTACCTGGACGACGAGGTTTGAGGTGTTGTACAGTTCACTGGTGGCCATGGCACGCCTCTGTAACTTGGCTAGATGTGAACTCATAGACTGTGCAATCCCTGCCATGTTGAAGTTAGAGTTCTCTGAGGAGCGACGTGAGGAACCTAAAGAGATAGGGTCATAGGGTGATGGCACCATGTTCTGACGACCCATAGATGCTGCCGACACCTGAGACACTTCACTGGATCTCCGGCTGTTGTGATGTAACGAGGAATCACTTCTCATACTGCCGTAGTAGGTGCTGACGGTGGAGTTTGAGTCCCGTCTGTTGTTTTGTAGCATCGTCTGTCCTGGCCGGAAGTGAAGGTCGAGGAGGTTCTTGCGGGCTTGTTGAGGAGTGGTCATCCCGCCGTTCATTTTGAGATCTGTAATACGCTGTGACAGCTCTCCTACGCCACTACTGGTGCTGCGCCGTGGACCACCTGGGATATTGGGCAAGATATTGGCTAAACCCTTAGCTTGTAGGCGGTTCTTTAATCTGTTTCTTAAGTTTCGTTCCTGTAGATTGATCTGACCACTAACCGAACCTTCTAAACCATTGAGAGCCGCAACCCCAACTGGTAGGTCCACGCTGGCATCCAAGTCGTCCTCAACAGCATCCCAAACTTCCTCTCGTTCAAGTATGTTCTCATAGCCTCCAGTGGTAGTGATGTTGTTGTCACTGATGGGGCCCTCCAGCAGCCGACTCTGGTCCATGGGTGTTGCACCGCCCACCACGGTGTCCATGTTAGGGCTGTGTTCCTGCCCGGGGGAGGTCGGGTCCTGCAGGATATTAATAGTCCATAAGAAGAACAAATTATCTTTACTAAGAGCATTTTAAAGACAAGTATTACTGTGTCAAAATAATGATGTGTATATCCAGAGCTTTAGTCCCACGACCTGAACCTTGTACTGTACTGTACATAAGCCTACTAAACCTATATTAACCTACCACTGAACTAAACCAACAATAATCTGGCATTTAACTTGACTAAACCTTCATTAACCTAACATTTAATCCAACCAAACACACAACCATTAAATGCTAGACTTACCTCAGACTTGACAGAGGGGCTAGAGAGAGAGCCACCCTTGCCACCATCAGAGTGTGGAGAGCCTTCAGGATGGGTGGCTCCTCCGTCCTTGCCTCCAGCGCCGCCTCCAGAATTAGCACTCGGGTGATCATTTCCTTTGTGCTTCTTGGAGGCGTAGAAGTCTGCCCCGTGGACAGTCTTCACGTGCTTCCGTAGTGAGGAAGGATCAGTGTAGCGCTTGGTGCACCCTGGCGCCTTACACACGTAAGGTTTCTGTTTGAAAATGAAATATAGAGTAGTTTATATAGTGAGAATAATACAGATATAAAGTGAACGACAACAAGAAACTATTGAATAATATAACAGTATCATCTGGATTACATCAATATTATTAATCCATATTATAAACTGCTACAGGAAATTGGCAAGTCTCTGACCCAGTATTGAGATTATGAACCCTGGAGCCTAAATCCCTGAACCCCGGGACTTGAATCAATGAACCTCTAAACTTGAATCTCTGAATATGAACCCAGGGATTTGGGTTCAGAGGTTTAGAACACAGCCACAGTACACTGCAACAGACAGGCAAAGGCACAGACAATACTAGCACACAGACAAGACAAAGGCACAGTCAAAGCAAATCACAGACAAAACAAAATCACAGACAAAGCCAGCCACAGATACACAAACTAAACTACTACTGAAGAGACAACATCAAAGACCCACAAACAAAAGACCAGAGCCACAGATATGAAAAAAATTCCACAGACAAGAATTAGAACACACAGGGCTCCATAAGTGAACAGAAAACCTACCATTCTTCATCTGACGAATTAGGAAAGAAGAGAATGTTGATATTAAGCATCGTTCTTATATATTTGAGTAGAAGAAGAATCAATAATAATAAGAACTAACATCATCATCCACATTGTATACCCACATCACCATACACACCTACCACTACCCACACATCATTACTCACACCTACACCATTACCCACGCCCACACAACGCACAAATCTACACCACTACCCATGCCCACACCATCACTCATGCCCACGCCACGCCCACGCCCCTACAATACTTCCTGTGCCAAAGAGCAGTGGGCAACCATCTTTCACACTAGCATATCTTAATGAAGATCTCAAGAACCCCTGGATAGCTTCATGCCAAACCAAGACTTATTGTTGGCCACGCCCAGTGCGCCTCCCCACCTACCTATTGAGCCTTCCTCCCCATCCACACTGAGCCCTCCTCCCTATCCATTCTGATCTCTCTTCCCCAACTATACTGAGCTTTCCTCCCCACCCATACTCTGCTCTCTTCCCCATCCATATTGAGCCCTCCTCCCCACCCATACTGAGCCCACCTCCCCATCCATACCGAGCTCCCTCCTCCCCACCCATACCGAGCTCTCTTCCCCATCCATACTGAGCTCTCTTCTCCAACCATATTGAGCCATCCTCCCCATCCACATTGAGCTCTCTCCTCCCTTCCCATACTAAGCTCTCCTCCCCATCCACATTGAGCCCTCCTTCTCACCTATACTGAGCCCCCCCCTCCTCACCTATACTGAGCCCTCCTCATCCTTCCCCAGTATTACCTTCAACAATATAACTAACCTGTATCTCCCCATTTTCTATGCTGGGAGGTGTATATACGTAATTAAAAAACGAGAGACAGTGATTTACAAGAAAATTATATTGATGTAGATTACTAATAAAACAATGTGACTTAATAGGAACGTTTTTCTTTGGATGAGAATCATAAAAAACGGGAAATAAAAATGGCTAATCACCCAAAGGACTTACCTCGTTGGAGTGTGTTCGGTTCTGGTGCTTGGCTCTGTCGGAGGCGTTAGAGAAGGCCTTCGTACACCCGGGGAACTCACACATGTAGGGTTTTTCTCCTGTGTGGGACCGTAAGTGAGTCTTCAGGTTCTCCAGCCTTGAGTATGCCTTGTAGCAGCCTTCGAACTGTTGTGGGGGGAAAAAGACAGGTATTAGCTTCTAGAATTTTTGAGCGAGGATAGTAGTAGTAGTAATGCTTTGAAACAGAAAACATCATATACCAAACTCTCCAATCGGACCATCAGAATGTGGCCAACAGTGACAATAATATGGCCAGTTATGACTAAAATGGGAGGCCGGGGGGAGGATGACATGACTTGGTGTGGCCCGGTAGAAAGTAGTGTCATTGGGACATGGGACATTGATATGGTCTAGATGTGGATTTTGAAATATTCATTCGTGAAATGTTACGTATAATGGGAAAATTTTCAAGTAAAATTTATTGTATTTAAGCACTGATAAGAAACAAATGACTGTGAATGTGTCATCATGGGTTGGCGACTCCGCAACCATCAACCAATCACTTTCTATGAGCTGTAATGGTTGCCAAAATGACCAAAAAGGGGGGGACAGAGTTTAATGGACAGATTAGCATTATGAACAACAAATGTATATTAATCTTTGTCGTCTTGATGTCAAACAATCGTAAGAGCAAAGAAAAAACCTCACTAAAATCAAATCCAAAAATCTGTGAAAGAAATAACTGGCAACACTACATGACACAACGAAAAAAGAAAAGGTTAAACATAAAAACTACACGAATTAAACGCCGCTGGCAACACTGCGTCCTAAACGTCTTTATTTCGCGCACCCCAAATTCTTGCTGGTTTTTTGGCGGGTGAGGCTGAGTTAGCGGTCACGTGGCATCCAACTTTTGTCTCTCTTCTGAACCACAACAAAACCTCCGCTCTACTGTACAATGTTTCTTCTTAGGAGGTCAAGTTTCGTTTATTCTCGCTTCACTAGAGGAGGATGTCGGGAGAGAAGGGGGGGGGATGGGGTAAGGGAGTAGGACGAGGGGAAGGAGTGAAGGAGGAGTAGAAGGTGTGAGGGAGGAGTAGGAATTGGGGTGATGGAGGAGGAGGAGGAGGAAGGGCTTGGGGTAAGGGAGGAGTAGGAGGGGTGAGGGAGTGAGGAGGGTTTAGGGGTGAGGGAGGAGAAGGCATTGGGGTGAGGGAAGAGTAGGAGAAGTTGATGGAGTAGGAACTGTTCATCTTATGGTAAAAATCTGCGGGTGTTTTTTTGGTGAGTGAGGAATAATATAAAGCTTCAATGTCGGCGTTGTAGTTCCCTTGACTGTTATATGTCGATGTTATTGTTATGGACATTAATGAAAATAGTTAACATATGGAAATAGAGTTGTCGGATGGTGTCGGAGATGTGTGTCTGGGGGTGTCGGATGGTGTCGGAGGTGTGTGTCTGGGGTTGTCGGATGGTGTCGGGCCGAGTCGTGGGGTTGTCGGAGGGAGGATGAGAAATTAATTATAAGTTCGGCAGCGTAAGATGTCTTCATTAGTTGCTGTAAGCCGCCATTTACTGCACCTCAACAACAGCAGCAGTGTCCCGACTGTGTTGCCACCATTACCGTCTCCTTCCCTGGCTGCCTGGGTAATTATTCTATTATTTGCACCGTGGAGGGAGTAGGGAAGGAAGAACGGAGTTGGGAGGGAAGAAGGGAGGAGGGAGGGAAGAAAGGGGGTAGGGAGAAGGGAGGGAAGGAATGAGAGAGAGGGAAAGATGGAGGGAAGTAGAGGGGGAGAAAGGAAGAAAGAAGTAATGAAAGATGGAGGGAAGTAGAGGGGGGAGAAAGGAAGAAAGAAGTAATGAAAGATGGAGGGAAGAAGAGATAAGGAAAGAAATAAAAATAATGATTCGTCGCCACGGTGAGTCGGTTTGTTTGTAAGGTCAGACAGCCCGAGTATTATTACCGAGTATTATTATTATTATCCCCATCACAGGCTGGGTGTCTAGTGATCATCTCTTGCCGCTGGTCACTCAATAACATCGCAATTTAGCGGAATCCACACGCATGCGGGTATGGCGTCCGCTGATTGGTCACTTCCACCCCTTACTATGATGTTAGCTAGTTTAGTACCAATTATTACGTTTGCCTGGTTGGTCAATTTATTATTATTATTATTATTATTATTATTATTATTATTATTATTATTATTATTATTATTATTATTATTATTATTATTATTATTATTATTATTATTATTATTATTATTATTATTATTATTATTATTATTATTATTATTATTATTATTATTCCATGATGTAGCCTATTTCAATGGATATTCGAACCCAGTAACTCATTCACCGCCAAACGAGGATGGCCACCAATGGACCACTACTGGGCCACCAATGGATCACTACTGGGCCACCACTGGACCATCAAGGAGAGTGAGGACAGGAATTGGTCGTTGGTGTTTGCTGTGTTGTGTCAACCAATGATGAATAGACCGTCCTAATACACCTGCTGGTGCTGACACTCCTTCCTTCCCTCCTGTAGGTGCGGACACTCTCCTTCCTTCCCTCCTGTAGGTGCTGACACTCCTTCCTTCCCTCCTGTAGGTGCTGACACTCCTTCCTTCCCTCCTGTAGGTGCTAACACTCTCCTTCTTCCCTCCTGTAGGTGCTGGCCTCCTTCCTTCCTCAGTGCTGACACTCCTTCCTTCCCTCCTGTAGGTGCTGACACTCCTTCCTTCCCTCCTGTAGGTGCGGACACTCTCCTTCCCTCCCTGTAGGTGCTGACACTCCTTCCTTCCTCCTGTAGGTGCTGACACTCCTTCCTTCCCTCCTGTAGGTGCTAACACTCTCCTTCCTTCCCTCCTGCCTCTCCTTCCTTCCTCCTGTAGGTGCTGACACTCCTTCCTTCCCTCCTGTAGGTGCGGACACTCCTTCCTTCCCTCCTGTAGGTGCTGACACTCCTTCCTTCCCTCCTGTAGGTGCTGACACTCCTTCCTTCCCTCCTGTAGGTGCTAACACTCTCCTTCCTTCCCTCCTGTAGGTGCTGACACTCCTTCCTTCCCTCCTGTAGGTGCTAACACTCTCCTTCCTTCCCTCCTGTTGGTGTTGACACTCCCTACAACCTCCCCTATCCGTCATAACCTCCCCAAACTCTTCCACAACCTCCCCAGCTCTTACAATCTCACTCTAACCTCCCCAAACTCCTCCACAACCATTAATTTAAGAAAAAAAGACGGAAGAAAAACTCAATTTCCATTTTATTCAAATTTTCTGGATATTATACAAGTCACTGCGGCGTTGAAGAGGTTTTTTAATCCCAGGTATTTAAAAATGGCTGCACCTGAATGTATAATACTTAACTGAACTGAAGGTTTTTATGTGTAGAGGGAGGGAGGGAGAGAGAGAGGGTGGGTTGAGTGGTTGGAGGGAGGGTAGAAAGGGAGAATAAGAAGGGAGGAAGGAGGAGAGACAGAGAGAGGGGAGGTAGGAATGGAGAATTGATGAGGGAGGGAGGGTTGTGTGGCTGACTGGTTAATGGTTAAATACGCCCCAGTTCTAACGGGTCATAGTTTTACCATGAAATTCCGATTGCAATACTGGCGTAATTTAGTCAATAACAACATTCATATTATTATCATCATCAAACTTTCGGGCAGTAATTATAAGTCTAATGGATAAAGAACATATGAACCGAATATCGACTTTTCTCTCGCAATTGGAATTTTAAGGGGTTTACCTCATTAAGTCCTTCCCAAACAACAAAAACACAACGCCATTCTCGCTCCAGTGGTGACACCCGATACTAAATGGTCCCGCCAACACGCATCAAGCTCTTCCTCCACACTTAACTGTACTTAAGGTAGATTCTCATAAAGTCTTACGTTGATCTCGAGTTAAAGGTAAATTTTCCAGTGCAGTAAGTTACGATAAACAGTCATATGGACCACCAACAACTTATCTGAACCACCAGCACTTATCTGAACCACCAGCACTTATCTGAACCACCAGCACTTATCTCACACTTACAAAGGAACACTTACTGTACACTTATGGGGCTTCTCTCCCGTGTGCCGCCTCATATGGACCACCAACATGTACTGCGCCTTGAACGGCTTCTCCTCCCTGGAACAATCCTTCCAGCGACACACAAACGATTTCTTGTTGGCGTGGATGTGGTCGTTGTTGAGATGCTGGAAGGGAGAATATGTGATAAATAAGGGAGACTAGCTGATAGATGAGGGAGAACATGTGATAAATAAGGGAGGATATGTGATAAATAAGGGAGAATATGTGATAAATAAGAGGATATTGCTAAACAAGGGAGGCTATGTGCTAACTAACAGAGAATATGTGCTAAATAAGGGAGAAATGCAATACTTAAAAGAATATCCGCTAAATAATGGATATATGCTAAAAATAAGGAAGAATATCGCCAAATTAAGGGAGAATATATGATACTCAAGGGAGAATATGTAACAAATCAAAAGAAATACATTTAAAAACAACAATACAAGACTGCACTCAAGCAAAACACTTCACCCTTCCTGTACTTAGGTAAAATACGGTGACACGCTGATGGCAACACCTCTATCAGGGAAAAAAATAAATAAACAGGTTTTTCGTAATTTGCTCCTTTGATTATTACGTCACGTGGATTAAAGAGAGAGAGAGAGAGAGAGAGTCTTCCTTTTCAAATCAACTCTCTCTCTCTCTCTCTCTCCTTCACCATCTGGCCTTAATTACTTCATTCCACACACCTTCTCCCCCTCTCCACTACCCCTACTCTCCCTTTATCTTCCTTTCCCTCCCTTTCCCTCCCTCTCCTTCCCTCTCCCTCACTCACTCTCACACAGTCATCAGGTCGGGTTGATTACTCAGTTATCAAGTCCAGTTTCTTTATTTTTTGTTCATCACCCATTTGTCACCTGGTAACCCCGGAGGCAAGTTGTGAACCCGCACCTCTTTTTCTCTCTCTCTCTCTCTCTCTCGTTTGCTTTTTTAAATATCGCTCAAGTTGTTCTTTAGTTTATTTACCGTGTGTGTGTGTGTTAATACTCCTTATCATATTCTTCAATTATAAAACGTGATTGAATGATAATAATAATAATAATAATAATAATAATAATAATAATAATAATAATAATAATAATAATAATAATAATAATAATAATAATAATAATATATTCATTATCATTATTATTATTACTCTCGTCCTCGGCATTCTTATCCTACCCTGTCCTTCTGAACCACGCTAAGATTAAGATGGGTGGCAAGATTGGGCAGGTGGGTGGCGAGCCTGGGTGGGTGGGTGAGTGGGTGGGTGGGTGGGCGGGTAGGATGGGTGGGTGGGCGGTAGGAAGGTGGGTGGGTGGTAGGGGGTTGTAATTATCGTCACCAGCTCTGGTTGTTGGAGTATGTGTTGAGAGTTAACAAGGTGCGCCTCGTCTATCTTGAGGCGATGCTGGGTGGTGGGCGGCGCGGGTGGGTGGCGCGAGTGGGTGGTCACCGCGCACTGTATAAGGCCAAACACGCACCTCCAGGCACAAGTCTTACACGACCCTCTGATGAAGTCGTCATATCACTCTCCCCCCTCCCCTCCTCCCCCTCCCCTCCTCCTCCTCTGCAGCTGTGGTTATTGCTTCCCTTGTTGTCATCATCTGTTGCTGTTACTGCTAGGTGATGTGGGTGGTGGTGCTGTGGTGTGATGCTGTGGTGGTGATGCTGTGGTGGTGATGCTGTGGTGGTGATGATGTTATCGGTGTTGTTGGGGTGTGGTGTAGTGTGGTGTTGTGTGGTGTGGTGTGGTGTCTCTCCCTTCTCCAGGAACTATGGCTACGACCTTTCACAGTACGTGCTTGTTCCTGGGGATGGGAGAGGAAGGAGAGGAAAGGGGAAGACGAGGAGATGGGGGGGAAGAGGGAGGAAAAGAGAAGAGGAAGGAGGAAAAGTAGGTGAGAGGGAAGAAGGAAAAGAAAGGGGGGGGAAGGAAGGAGGAAAATTAAAGAAGGAGGGAGGGGAAAGGGAGGGGGGAGAAGGATGAGAAACAAAAAACACAAAACGCAAAAGAAAGAAAATTAAGAAGCAAAAATCAAAGAAGTAAAAGAAGAACTGACACTTGATAGCGATTTCATTACACCGAAATGGCTACCGTCACCTCGCCAATTTTAATACCACCATGACTATTACTCCACTACACCGAGCTCTTGGGTTGAACAATATCTGTGTCAAGTTTCAAGAGAATCCGTCCTTTCCTTCAAGAGTTATCACGTACACAGTAAGGACAGACCAAGCGACCAGACGGACACACCACGACGCGCTCCATAACACGACATTGGAGGACAGGTATAGAATGTAATGGTATTATTAGGATGGCGCCTCCCGTCCTTCGTCCCCTCCCTCCTTCGTTCCCTCCCTCCTTCCCTCCTTTCGTTCTTTCCCTCCTTCCCTCCTTTCCTCCTCCCCCCCTTCCTTCCCTCCTTTTCAGACAAGCGCTAGAGGGCTAACTCACCCCCCCCCCTCTACCTCACCCCCACACACAAGGTAAACTACCCCTTGAGGGACCCATGACACTACGGTATTCTTGAAGGTGTCTTAAGTTGAATATTCCTCCCAAATGAAGACATAAGCTCCGCGTAAAACATCCAAAATGACGTCAAAATTACGCTGAGACTTTACCTTAACTAGACACATTAACTTATTATCTACAAGACCATTAAATGAAGTTAAAGTGAACGTATCTAGTTAAGGTAGAGTTTATTTTTATTTTGAGATCATTTTGGGTGTTATTTCAGGTGACTTATACCTGAAGTTGATTAATTAAAGGTGTTAAAGGCGACAAACTTTCTAACCGTACGAATCATTTAGGAAAATATGTGTTAATAGACGAACCTTGGTGTTGGAAAGTCGTTGTCTTTCTTTTGCTACCACAATTACTAACCTTCATCACAGCTACTACTAACTTTTACCACTACCACAACTACTAACCTTCACCACTACCACGGCTACCAACCCTCATCACTATAACCCATCACAACCTACCAGCTTCACCACCACTATTCCTCTACCACCACCATTACGCTTACCACACAACTCTCTCTCCTCGTCAACTACTATCACCACCATCACACTCTCTCCTCCTACCACCACCACCACTACCACCACTCTCTCCTACCACCATCATTATACCTACTACCACCACTACCACCACTTTTAATCCCCCAACCCTCACTTTACAGATCACTTACCCACTTCTACAACTTTTTAAATGCTGTAAAAACTTTGAGGTCGTTTCACATATGCCAGACTGACGGACGTACTGCTGGTCAGAGAGGCGTAACCCACAGCCCCCCTTTTGACTGACGACTCTGACCTCTTTGACCCTAGTGGTTAAAGGCGATAATGATCTTAATTCATGTAGGGAAGGTTAAGGCTTTACTCAACCTGTCCACAACTCTATTTTTTTTTTTCGGGGGAAGACAGAATTATTTATGCTCTAGTAAAAATAGTGTGTGTGTGTGTGTGTGTGTGTGTATGTATGTATGTATGTATGTATGTATGTATGTATGCTTTCTTTCCTCGGATTCGACCAGGTTGCATTTTTGTGTGTGTTCGCCCCTACCGTTTAGATCTAGAGGGAAGGAAAGGAAAATGGGAGGGGAGGGGGGCCGAGAGGGGTTGGGGAGAGGGGGTGGGGAGAGGGGGTGGGGAGGGGAGGAGAGGGATAATGGGTGACACTGAATATCTAGGAATCAACCACCCCCACCACCCTCTCACCAAAACAACCATCCCTACCACAACAGCCACCCCTACCACAACAACCCCACACCACAACAACCCCCCCCCCTACTAGCTACAAGTCTACCCCACACCTCGGTCACTGGACAATCACAACCTAACCTAACCTAACCTAACCTAACCAAGTGTGGCGAGGCCTTGAAACTGTCACAGGAAACATCAGTGAGTGTGTGTGGTGTGTCGTGTGTGTGGTGTGTAGTGTGGTGTAGGGGTGTGGTGATGGTGTGGGGATGTGGGGGTAGTGTGGTTATGTGTTGATAGTATGTGGTGTAGTGGTATGGAGATGATGGTGGTTATAGTGTGGTGGTGGTGTGGTGGTGGTGGTGGGTGGGACACAGTGGGTGCACGAGGACAAGCCAACACTGTGGTGATACACAATGGGTCTCTGACAGTGAGGTAGATGAGCCAGTGTGCCTCTACCTCCTAGTGCCTCTACCTCCAAGTGCCTCTACCTCCTAGTGCCTCTACCTCCAAGTGCCTCTACCTACTAGTGCCTCTACCTCCAAGTGCCTCTACCTCCTAGTGCCTCTACCTCCAAGTGCCTCTACCTACTAGTGCCTCTACCTCCAAGTGCCTCTACCTCCTAGTGCCTCTACCTAAGTGCCTCTACCTCCAAAGTGCCTCTACCTCCAAGTGCCTCTACCTCCTAATACCTCTACCTCCTAATACCTCGACCTCCGAGTGCCTCTACCTCCGAGTGCCTCTACCTCCGAGTGCCTCTACCTCCAAGTGCCTTTACCTGCAACTGCCTCTACCTCCCAGTGCCTCTACCTCCAAGTGCCACTACCTCCTAGTGCCTCTTCCTCCTAGTGCCTCTACGTCCTAGTGCCTACCTCCTAGTGCCTCTTCCTCCCTAGTGCCTCGTCCTAGTGCCTCTACCTCTTAGTCACCCACCATAAGACTTACATTTTTAGTGATTTTGGCCAAAATTAGATTTCTTAAAAAATCACAGTATGGGTACTCTGAGCTTGCTGATTGATTATGTGGTCACGTTCCCTGATTGCAGAAGTATTAGTGGGCAAGAGAAATATTATGAAAAGATTTGGCATTTTTCAATGCTAATTACTCTCATCAACTATAGGTTTCAAGGTGTGATTTAGGGTTTTATGTGTTATTCTGAAAGTACTTAATTAGTTGAACCCCTTAAACTTCAATTCTGAAAAAAAACTATATTTTGGTCAAAATTTTGTAAGGTATAAGACTTACATTTTGGTGATTTTTATTAAAATTAGATTTGCTGAAAAATCAAGTGTCGTTACTCCTGAGCTTGCTGATTATGACATATTGGTCCTGATTCGTTGCAGAGTAATTAGGGGGCAAAAATGGCCCTTCAAAATAATACTGACATTTTCAATGCTAATTACTCATCAACTATGGGTTTCAAGGTGTGATTTAG